AGTGATATGCTAGTGCGTCCTGACAGGTTTAAAATAATTATGAAACAGATAATCGCGGTTCAAAGTTTTTTCCTTAACGTGACGTATTTCAGAGTGAAATAGGATATTTAGGTGGGAAATAATTGTGGATGAGCCAAATTTTTTTTCTTCAGGATTTGATTGGATCATGAAAAGCGGGCATTCCAAAACAAACATGGCGTCAGACTCTAATGTGTATTTTTTGTAGTTTCTGAAACAATTCATTAACTTCTGAATGCTTCATTTTTATGTGTTTATTTTTTTTATTTTTAAGACATAGTTAAGGTGAAGCAAATGTCAGCAGACTAGCCTTTTAGCATCTGAGTTGCTCCAGCTTTTCTCACACTTTCACAGCAAAAGCAAGAGAAAAAAGCATAAGCGGTTTAAAAACCAAGAAAGAGAGAGTAAAGTGAGCAGAACTGAATTCTTGGACTCCTGACTGTAATGCTGCTCGCATGGACCACCAAGTGTATAGATGAAATAAGAACTCAGTTTTGTTTAAACTGAAGGAGGACAACTTATTCCTTTTTAGAACCAGGCTGAACAGCTAGATAACAGGCTAAACAACTCCATTAAAGTCACGGTCTTTGAATTAAATTAATTACTAATACTGCAATATAAAAAGTAAAGATTGTCAGTGCAATGCCTTACACATTTCAAATGTCTGTGTTTTAGTTTTGCCTCAAGTACCATCAAACCCAGGCTAAATCTCTAACAGCTACCTCCTTCCTGAATAGCACAAAGTTATGAAATCTGTATATCTGTATTCAGTCTGTTACATTTTGTAAAGGCAGCATTCAGAATACAGTTAAGGTTTCAATTTTTAGAATACTTAGCTACTAAACTAAATATATTCCATGTTTAAAAGAAACACCCATGATTGTTTATTAACAACTTTAAAATTAATGCACAGCGTGTAAAGACAGACTCCAAAGAAGAACTCGATAAGCAGCTTCTTTATAAATACTAAAGCTCTTGCTAAAGCCTGAGTAGACTGATAAATCAATGTGACAAGCTGGCCATAAATATCAGTGTTACTAAACTCCTTTGAGGGATGATGGAACTGAACATCTTCCTCAATAATGGACATGTTCATACTGTACTGCCTACACTTCATGGCAAGTTACATACATAGCATTAACTAAAAATCTCAGCGCTACTCACTTCATGGTCAAATCTGCAAAATTTTGTTATGGGAAATGTTAAAGTGTTTGCTTTGGCAACAATAACAATCTAAAGAAACTACATTTCTTGGCAGAATAATTATTTATCACAAATATTATTAATAATTAAACTTAAATGATTTATTGAAATATTGTGTATTTTATCTTATTTTATGTTGTCTGTAGTTTTATAAAAGCAATAAGCTACTTGAGACCACATGTTTCAGTGATCTTATCATGGGTATTGTGGGGTTTCACTCTGCTTCATGTGCCTAATAATACCCCTTAACTGTGATTATTGTAATGCACTACACAAAAAATGAATTGTGTCCAGAATAATGAAAGGAGCTACAGCATGCCTCTTATTTCAAAAGTCAAAACTCAAAGCAAAATATTGGCAAAAATATTGGCAAAAAAATATTTCTACTATGTATTATTTATTATTTACTTGTTCCAAAAATAGTCGAAATATTGACCACAACATCTAAACATTTAGTTAGGTGTCTATTTAATAATAATTTATTATTTTTATTTGGCAATTTTATGACATAAAAAATGAGGCAGTTAAGTGCACTTGCACTGTATTTAAATGCTGCTGCTACACGTATACGAAAATGTCACAGCATGATTCAATGCCTAATGAGCCAATGGCTTTACTTTTAATGTAGCACTTAATTGGATTTAATGAAGTTTAAACCACATTTTTGCTTTAGGGTTAATGTAAAATTCCAGTTTGGTCTATTAAAGAGCAAATAATGTTACTTATATTGCTTTGACTAATAAAAAATACTGGTGCAAGTGTGTTCACTAAGCCCATGCAATGTGAGCTCTGGATACTGAAGAAATCTAAAAATGGAAATAAATAAACAATAAAAACAGCCAACGATAAAAAACATGTATGTAAAATACCAAGAATTATCCATGATTAAATTAACAAGTGATTCAACTCTTTTGAATGCTATCCACACAAATACACATCCTGAACTAGGTTAATTATACACTACGAACATCAGCCGACACATCATGACATATGCACGTGCATAACACTGCACACCCTTAAAGGCTGAATCACAGGAACATTTGTCAATCTACATCTCCTGCTGACTGGGCAAATCTAACTGCCTCCAAGTCTGCTTGACGATAACATAACTAAAAAAATAAGCACCCTAAAAACACTTTGTGGCAGTAATAACTGGTATTCATCATAATATATGTTGAATCCAATTAAATGCCTCTAGCCAATATCAGTATGCTCTTGCTTTATTGTAAACCGCATTTTATATAATGCTGAAATGTCTTCAGTTGGCTAATGTTTGTTCAGTGCAGACATTCATCTGTTCAGCTATTTATTTATTTATTTATTTTATTCATTCATCCAGCAAGGATATTGGATAACAAACAGATTCTCATTTACTAAGAGGGCTTGACGGGTAAAAAGGGACCCTGAAGCACAACTCTACATTATTACATGCATTTGCCGGTATTGTTAAGCCATCGTGTCTTCATTGTAATCCAAAACTGCGTGAAGGTAGGGGAGGGCAATATAACATTATGTTGCTCTTATTGTGATAAATTTCTCGTCTTTACAACAGTTAGTTCTGACAGCACAATCTGATTGGCTGGTGTTCTACCTGTGCTGTTATTTGTGAAGACAGCAAATTTTTCACAATAATAATTTTTCACTGAGCACTAGGTGCTAAGCAACGACTCACGTTTCTAGGTTTCTACTTTGGCATATTTAAAAAACAGAACATGGACGCTTTAGATAACTTCTACAGCATAATGTATAAGATAATGTATAAGATAATTTAGAAGAAATATAAGGTATAATATCTTCAGCCCGTTTGGTCAGATTCTGAAACAGAGTGTGACAGCAGGCCTGCACCAAATTCTGAACATTTGTCACTGCCTCTAAGGAAGCTTTTCAGTCGGCAGCTGTGATGGCAGAACAAATAAACCAAGCCAGAAATGGACGGAATACATTTAAACAAACAAGATGGCCTGTGAAATGCTTTGCAGACTGAACTGGAACAAAATGACATCCAGGTTAATCTGGCAGGTAGTGAAAAAGCTGAGCTGTCCAGAACACAAAAGAATACTACTTTTTTGGTGGAAGGGATTGACAATATAAAAGCACATTTGATCAAATATTTGGGGCTTCTTTGCTTTACTTTCTTCTTTATTTGTCAAAACTGTTGTGTAATAGCAATACAGCACTCAAGGTCATGTGTTATTGCGAATAACTTGCCTTCCGCTTGTGGATGCAAATGAAGCACAGTGGTGATGTTATTTGTGATAACACACTTTATCTCGTGTTCTGCTGCATTTATGATAAGCTTTTCTGAGTATCCTATCAGTACTAGATTGAACAACTGTGTTATTCATTAAAAATACTTAGAGTTGATTTACACCAGTTATAAAAATCCAGTAATAACCAAGATAAAACTAAATACGGACACATCATGCATCAAGTAGCATCATGTTGTTCTTTTTTTGCCATATTAATTAAGGCAATATACTACAAACAGAAATGAGTTTTGGCCCCTGAATCATTTTTCAGATTGTAAGATAAACTGCATTTAGCCTTTTTTGAGAGTGCAGCATAAGCATTACCTGCTGTGAACCCAGTTTTGACAGTTTCCAATGTTTTCTGTAAACTAGAAGCTGATTTTTCTTTAAAAGAGCCTGTGTAGTATATGTTTCTGCTTTGTTATTTTTCCCCTGAGGTCTACTTATAATGTTTGTGTGGGTTTATGTACCAAAAACAGTCACAATTCATTTTTACACAACTATTTTCTAACCTCTCTTTATCTTTAGAGTTAAACAGGCTGTTTTGTAACGGGGCTTTTAAGATTGATATACATAAATGATCTCTGCTTGAATTGGGTGCCTTGTATTGGGCCTCAATGAAAAGACAATCTGGGCTGGATCTTTTTTTGTTAGCTAACTTTTTTAGCCCACCCTGTTCTTCAATGGTCAGGACCCCCACAGGACCACCACAGAGCAGGTATTATCTGGGGAGTGGATCATTCTCAGCACTGTAGTGACACTGATGTGGTGGAGGTGTGTTACTATGTGTTGCGCTGGTGTAAATGGATCAGACACAGCAGTGCTGCTGGAGTTTTAAACACCTCAGTGTCACGGCTGGACTGAGAATAGTCCACAAACCAAAAATATCCAGTCAGCAGCGTCCTGTGACCACAGATGAAGGACTAGAGGATGACCATCAAAAACTGTGCAGCAACAGATGAGCCACTGTCTCTAACATTCTATCTACAAGGTGGACCGACAAGATAGGAGTGTCTAATAGAGTGGACAGTGAGTGGACACAGTGTTTAAAAACTCCAGCAGCACTGCTGTGTCTGATCCACTCAGACCAGCGCAACACACACTAACACACCACCACTACATCAGTGTTACTGCAGTGCTGAGAATGATCCACCACCCAAATAGTACCTGCTCTGTGAGGGTCCATGGGGGTCCTGACCACTGAAGAACAGGGTAAAAGGGACTAACAAAGTATGCAGAGAAACAGATGGACTACAGTCTGTAACTGTAGAACTACAAAGTGCACCTATATGGTACTCAGAGCTGGTAAAATGGACAAAGAGTGAAAAGGAAAATGATGTCCTTAATGGCTGGTTGGTGTTAATGTAAATGTGTTGTTTAACATAACACATCAATCTCTTTTATTTAAAAAAAGTTAGGGAAATTAAGTTCTCCCTGATATACGCCCTTAAAGCCCTATTCTGCAGCCCCAGGAGAAAGAGGAAATCTACTTCAAACACTTCTAAGCATCATGACGACAGCAGGACTCACATGTACTCTCTGTGTGCTGAGTGCACAGCTGCTGCATTACTGTAGCGCCACAGCACGATGATGGAGGACAGCACGTCTAGGGTGGCATCAAACTGGAAACAGACGAAACAGTGTTTACTAATAGTCACAGCCATCAAACTAGCCATTTGGTAGCAGCAGCATAAGGACAGCATACTTACAGCAAACCCGAACGCTGAGGCACTGCTTCTCATCGCCGAAACAGCTGCAATACACAAAGAAGAGAGAAAAGCAGTTATTTTTCATGTCCGACTTTGCTGCAATAACAATCACATATGCATACTTTATTTTCTAACTTGAATTTAGTAGATGTTATCGTGATAAATTACATAACGTCACGAAAAAAAAATTCTGAAAGAACAATGAACAATTATTAGTCCTGCTTAACTAGATTTAGTGCAGTGCAGTATTTGAAATGGTGAATAAAAATAATCATATTCATAGTTTTGATGGCATTTTTTATAAAAGTGGCACTAATTCTACGTTCTAACTTATTAAACCTCTTGAAGTATTGTAATATTATATTTTTATTATACTCAGTTGCCACTTTATTAGACACCCCTACTTTTTAGCTCCACATTGCTTGTTTAAAATGAAATCATCTATCCTTTCATCAGTTCATCAGTTTCTGACCACAGATTCACTCTAGGCTGGATATTTTTGGATGGTGGACCACTCTCAACCAAGCAGTGGCACTAAGTTTGTACTTAAGTGCCAAATTAAACTTAGGTGAATAACTGAAATGTTGTTAAAAAAATCAAAAAGTAAGCCTGATCATCTTGAAGTAAGAGAATAAAACTCTGTATTATACTTAGGACACTTATGAAATACACGGAACGAGTTTACAAAGAAAACTTTAAAACAAACTTCTCATTGCTTTTTTTTTCAATTTTATGAATATATTTTACCACGAAAGAGCGTGGAGACCATCTTATTTCTGCCATTTATTCAACTATTTTTTGCCATTTTATTCTATATTTGCTGTTACTATGAAGGCTTTTTGCAAGCATAAAAATATGGGGGTGGAAACCTGGCTACTGTCTCGTACCTGTCAGTGTCACTGCTGTGCTGAGAATGATTCACCACCCAAATAATATCTGGTCTACAGTGGTTTTGTGGTCAGAAACTGTCAAATGATCAATGGGCTTGAAAGCTGACAAATTGTAAATGACAACCGATGAGTTTCAGTCTATAATTGTAAAATTTTCAGTTCTATAACTGTGGACTAAGAATGGCAGAGCTCATTAAGTGGACAGTGAGTGGAAGTACAAGACAGGTGTTTCTACTAGTGTCCAGTGAGTGTATTATGCAATAAAATCTGGTCCTTGAGCACTTTCTCTGCTCATAACACACCAGACTCAACTCAGCAGCTCATTAACAAGCCCTTCATGAAGTTGGAATGCAGGGCAGCTCCAGGGCCAGGACTGAGGAACACTACCATAGGAGATCAATAGAGAATTTCTCGTAGATGAGCATGACTGAATAGAGTGCACTCTTAAAAAAGATGGTTCTTTAGTGAAGGGAATTGTTCTATTTAGAACCATTTCAGGCTTAAATTGTTCTTGCATGGTGAAATGGTTCTTCAGATTGATGGAGAACGTGCTGACCTTTTTGAAAATGGTTCTATATAGCACCAAAAGGTTCTGCTATTGTTACAAGCTTGACATCGTAACAATAGAAGAACCCTTTTTGGTGCTATATAGTACCCTTTTCAAAGAGGTCAGCATGTTCTCCATCAATCTGAAAAACCATTTCACCATGCAAGAACCATTTTTATACTCATGGTTCTAATCTCTTTACTAAAGAACCCTTCAAGAACCATCTTTTTTATGAGTGTTTAATGTATTTAATGTAGTCACTCTGGTTAAAATGACCTTCACATTTCACACACACACACACACACACACACACACATTCTGATTCGCTTATCCTTCTGGGTTGCGTGGAGAGCTGGAGCCTATCCCAGTTGTCACTGGGCGAAAGGCAGGATACACCCTGGACAGGTCGCCAGTCCATCGCAGGGCAGACAGAAAGACAGACATATACATTCACACACACCCTTAACACACAGTATTTGATATTCAGAATCTTCCTTTATTTGTTGGCTACATTAGCCTTGTAGCTGTAGTGCAGAACTAAAGTAACAAACGTCAGACATATAACTTCGCTGACTGTTCTTAGCTGACTGTTTACATTTAGGGTGAAAATGGTGTTAATAATTTTTTGAATCACTCCTTTAAGGATTCTTTGCCGGTCCTCTAGGAGAGCATGCTGTTGGTATTGACATGGATAGCTGTGCGTCCACAGCAAGTGTGTATGAACAAACAGAGGGGGTAATAGACTCCAGGTTGATGGGCAATGTCCTGCTGTCAGCGCTTTGCTCTGTCCGATGCACCTGAGCTGCAGTGTGGCCTGTGGCCAGCTATCGACCCCAACACTGACCCCAGTGCTCTGTTCTGCCACCGCCCAGAAAGTACATCTGTCAGCATGACTGAGAGCTGATCCCAGATAAGTTTAAAGTGACAGCTTGGCCAAAGAATCACACACACACACACACACACACACACACACACACACACATATGTATATATATATATATATATATATATGTATGGCCAAAAGCAGGTGGACACCTGATCATCACACCTATGCTAGAGATTCCATTCCAACCATGGGTATTTACTGGGAGTTGCCCCCCCCCCCCAACATCTGGAGCTATAACAGCCTCCACTCTTCTGGGAAGGTGTTCAAATTGTTGCCACAAAGTTGGAACTATATAATTGTCTAAAATGTCTTTGTATGCTGTAGCATTAACATTACCCTTCTCTGTAACTAAGAGGCCCAAACCCTGGCAAACAGCCCAGACCATTATCCCTCCTCCACCAAACTGTACTGTGGCACGCAGTGCTCCACCAAACCCAGCTTGATTCATCACTCCACAAACATGTTTTCACTGGTCCAGTGGCGGCATGTTTTACACAGCCAACCCAGCCAACACTTAACACTAGATTTCATTAAGTTCCAGAGAATAGGCAATTTTTACGAGCTATGTGCTTCAGTACTAGGCTACCCTGCTCTGCAAGTTTGCAGAGCTACTTTTTCAAGCTGCTGTTGCTTTCAGACGCATGCATTTTACAATAATAGCACATACAGAGCATTCATTTCACAAACTTACATGTGGCAAAGGTGGCATCCTATGAGAGTATCATATTTAAAGTCACTGAGCTCTTCACTAGTATGACCCATTCTAGTGCCAGTGTCTGTCTATGGAGAATGCACGGCTATGTTCTTGATTGTATACAGCTCTTAGCAATAGTTGTGGGTAAAACACCCGAACTCAATAATTACAAGGGGTGTCTACAGATGGAGGGTGCTGATCTTAAAACAGAGCCACATTTCTGCTGTCATCTCAGTGTTTTCAATGGAACATACAGCTGTGCAAAATCATGAATGCTTCTTTTCAATTTAATTATGGATGACTCTAATTAATATGTCCCATTTATTGTATGAAATCACACACAGCTGGGTTTTTTAGTTATAAACAGCTCTACTTATCAAATGAATGCTCTGGGGAATGATATTTACATAGGCAATACAAACAGAACTCACTGCAGCACTCATAAGTAGTGACTCAACTGCAGCTCGTGAGTATGAAGCTCAATAGTCAATGTTTAGGCAGCAGTGTGCGAATGTATTTGAGTTGAGTAGTGTTGCAATCTCCATCTCAGTGTGTGTGTATTTGAACCTGGTTACACGTAGTCACTTTGTGTGTTTTGAGTTGATCGGATAGCTACACTGTTAAAAATGAAGCTGCCAAAGCTTCTTTGGAGCGATGTTATATAGTGTTTTTCCACTGGGCAGTATAGTACAGTATAGTACAGTAACAAATCCAAATCCAGAACTACTCATTCCCTGGTTGAGTACTTGTGTCCATTTCAAGTGGAAAAGCAGTGTAGGCACAGATTTATTTAGCTTGTGTGGTCGCATGGTCAGATAACTAAAACGGTCCTGATAACTAAAATCAAAAACAATTTTTAAAAATAACACATGAGGGAGTACATTTGGGGTACGCTGCCTTGAGGCAACACTCTGCAACCATGTAAATAAATGAGTGTTATACAGAACTCTGGGTTTGTTATCTAAACATTTGGAATGAAACCGAGTAACTTTTGATCTTACTTTTAAAAAACTGATAATAATCACATTTCATGCTGTTTTCAAAAGAATCATGATACAACATTCTGGAGTAATATAAGATTAAAATTATGCTAAAACATCAGGAACGAATCAATTAATTAAAAAAAAAAAATGCCGTTCATTTTCTAAACAAAACCAACATATTGGATGCTGACTGCTACATAATATAATTGACTGGAAGGGGCTTCAAGCTTTCTAAAACTGCATACATGTTAAACACTTCAGAAGTTACAATTCCAAAATAGGCAAAGGCATGAAATGATTCCAAATAAAAAATAAATAATTCCAAAATTCCAAATTCCAAAAAAAAAAATAATAATTCAAAATGTAAAATTAAGTGACAGTTTAGCTGGCTACTGGCTAAATCCATTTCACTGTCGCACAATATTGCTTCAAGGCAACAAACATATTTCACAATTTTTCCATAACATAAACAATATTTATATGACATTCAACATTACAAAGAAAAAATCCAAATCCACTTCACACTCTAACAGATATGAATCATATTTCTGGACAGATAAAAACACTATTTTGCTTTTCTGAGCAGTAAGCTGTATCATCCACAAGCTGCACCATGCAAAAAAAAGGTTTACAAATGCCCACCAGGGATAGTGTGACCAACAAGGGTTTTAGATTTTTTTATGTAAACTCCCTTCATTATTAACCCTTTCATCATCTTTAAATATATATTGTGTGATTGTAAAGTGAGGAAAATGGGTTTGTTGCCCTGGGGCAACAATGCAAGAGACACTCAGTACAAACAACAGTAGCAACAATTCAGGACAAATAGACAAACCTGTTTTGGTTCCCTAAAGAAACTTTCAGTAGATGATTCTAAAGAACCATTTTTATAAATCAGATGTGCACGTCTGAAGAATGTTTTTTTTAAAGAACCTAACCTACCCATTAAATATTTTACCTAGACCTGTCTATCCAAGCCAGGAGCTATTAAAGATCCTTTTCAGGAGTTGGTACTGCACATAAATTTGAACACCCCTGGTCAAA